GGTCTGCTAATGTTAGCCTGCAAGTCTACAAGGGTTAGGCTGTAGGTTTGCTAATGTTAGCCTGCAGGTCTGCAAGGGTTAGTTTGTATTTTGCCAACACATGAAAAATAACTGCAGTTGAATAAAGCACAGAAAAGAAGCACAAACAGAACTGGTCATTATCAAAAACAAGTTACCCTGTGTATAAAATGTTCAATGTAGTTTTTTAAGTCCARTATTTTCATTTTTATATGGCGCTGTACCAAAGGATATCTGGATCAATACYGGTTCTTAGCTTGATGGTTGGGGACCCTGGACTTAAAATATCAGCTTTAYTTGGACAGGTTCAACACTCCCAGCTCTAACACGTTCAGATTAGTGACCAAAGCTATTTTTTAAAAATTATTAAATGCACTAAAATCTTTACATCTTTGAAGTATAACATCTTTCTTATGAATATAGCCCTGTGTATAAAATTAGAAAAACAAAGTAAAGAAAAATCAAACAAAAACACAACAAAAACAACATATGATTTATATTTTACAGGTCAACCTCATATGGAGGGTGTGACTGGATGGATCATTAGTAACCGGAGTTATACAATATAGAAACACACAAAAWTTTAAAAATAATTAGGTAAATTAAAAAGATTTTTTTTAAATGTGGCACAACTGTAGAAAATGCACACCTTTTAAGTAGCTCTTGACCAAATGCGACAGAAAAACAAATAAAACTACATAGCTGCTGAGAAAGGTGCAGTAAATAGTTCCTACTTTACAAAACGTTCCGCTGAGCTGAAACCACAACCAGGAGACTAATGGAAGACAAAATGTACTTTGATGCATATTTACCTTTTCCTTACATTAGAGAGCAGATTGTCTCGTGTTTTTGTGCTTATGGCTACAGTTTTTCTGCACCTCGTGTGTTGAATCAGCCTTTTGTTTCTCTTCGGTTACAATATTTTTGCAATTCTGTCGCCTCACAGATGCAGCCAGCTCATCTCACAACATATTGTTTCCTCTTGACCCACCTCAGCTTCCTCTTTCCTTTTGTACTGAAAGCTTGCACGTGCAGCTGCAGCATGTATACTTTGTCTGGTTTAGCCTGATGAGTTGAGAGCATAAAGGGTGGGTTCATCATTAATATTTATAGCCTGCAATAAAGTCAGTGTAATTGATTTTTCTTCTGATTGTATAGAAAGAGAAAATTTAGCACTCAGAGGGCCTAAAAAGTTTAAAGCACTTCAAAGTTTAGGTAGACTGAGAATCTCTGCCTTGATAAATTTTGTCTTTAGCTTACCTCCAGACCATAATTTAGACAACGCGTTAAAAAGGACAAATACAGTTCTGGCACTATTCCACAAGAATATCCTCAGTTTTTATTGGTTCTAGCGGGGTGCCAGAATTGGACAAATCCGAGCCTTCATCTTTGGAAAATTCCTCCCGCTGCGGCACCGTGTTTCCTTGMAGCCCGACTAGTCCTCCTTGTGAGAAGCACAGGTGTTTGATCACCTCGCTGGGACTGGAGAAGGTCGTCGCACAAATGTTACACTTGTACGGCTTCGAGGAGCCCAAGAACATGGCCTCCATCTGGCTGCTGTCGTCGCCGGCGGCGCACAGCTCCATGCTCTGGCGGTCCACCATGGTGTACGAGTCGGCCCCCTGGTTCAGGCAGACGTGGCGGGCCGCCTGGTTGGCGCGGCAGAAGCTCTTCCCGCACGCGCTGCATTTGAAGGGTTTCCCCGTGTGGATGTACATGTGCTCGCGCCAGTGGCTCTTCTGGATGAACTTGCGCCCGCAGGTGGAGCACTCGTACTTGCGCCGCTTCACCTCCCGGTCCAGGTCGGCGTTCTCGAGGTTGTCGATGTCCGCGATGTCCGACGGGGGCGGCGTGTCCGCCTGAGAGTTCAACCCCCCCAGGCCCCAGGTGGACGTGGACACCTCTGCTTGCGGGGAGTCAGAGTTGGTTCCTGAAACGGGAGTCTGCTCGCTGTCACTGATTATCTCCACCGGTGCGATCGAGAGGCCGGACCCGCCAGCTCTGTTGCCCTTAAGAGCCCCCTCTGCTAACAGGGCGGGGTCTCCCATCACAGGCGACAGCTCCTTACTGGGCTGGAGGTTCTGAGCGTGCTGCAGGAGATGCTCCCTCAGCAGGCTCCTCTGGGTGAACCTGCTCTTGCAGAGGTGACAGGAGTAATGCTTCCTGAAGGAGGAGTTCCTCTTCATTATGCTGGGCTTCACGTGGAGAATAGCACCAGCCGAGGAACCGTCTGCGCCAAGCAGCTCCACCGCCCCCTCCTCAGCCGAGRCTTTAGCACCGCTGGTCGAGGCCTCGCAATCGGGATGTTTGGACACGGCAGAGTTAGCTGCAGCCGGCGTGGACGGAAACTTCCCTTCTGAGCCGACCTGCTCCAAGTCGAAGGGCGAGGAGAGCTGCCGGCAAGCCGGTCCTCTGGGCGACAGCGCCACCTGTTGGTCGGAGATCTGGATGCCGTAGAGCGAGGTGGACAGGTTGATGTTCTGCTCGGGTTGGGAATAYGCAGACTGGCTGGCCTCCTGCAGGAGCGGGTAGGCGTGCAGGAAGCGGACCCCCTGCTCCAGCCGTGCAGGATCAATCAGCTGGGGGGCCAGCTTGCCCGTGTACATCAGGTTGAGGAGGTAGCTGAAGATGTCGGGCTGTATGTCGGCCGCTTTCAGACGCACACAGTCGCTGAAACAGAAACACGCTGTGGTTAACTCGTGGAAATTTGTGATAATGCCTTTTAACAGCAAAAACTACAAAAGACCTGTCCTGGTGAATAAAAAGCATCCGGAAGTAGTTGGAGAAGGCAGCGAGAACGGCCTTGTGGGCTTTAAAGAAGACATCTCCGATAGCCACAGTGCAGTCACACAGGAAGCCAAATTCCCTCTGAGCGTTAAGCTGTTGCAGCAGGATAAGACCATGGTTGGCCAACTCCATTCTTCAGCCTGCACGAAGAAAAAACACACAAGCAGCGATGAGTTTCCTGTCGCGAAGCACACAAGTTGTGTTTTTGACCACAGACAGTCAGGATGTCAGTGGTGATCTAAGGCTAAGCTTCACACAGCTGYGAGGAACTATTGAGAAACACTGGAGAAACCATCGTAAATCAGACAMTGAACAACAAACTGTAACGTTCATTTAAAATGATCAAAACTGGCGTTTTAAAAAAAGGCTGCACAAAACCAGAAAAATGGATAAACTCAAGCATTTTTTTTCCAGATACGAGGTCAAATTTAGCTGAGCATTTTCCTCAACAACACTGCACCACAGCTTTATGTAAAACCCTGGCTTTAACTGTTGAAGTCAACCCTGTTCGCAAAAAAATCTAAGTTTTCACAGTAGCTTTGACAAATAGTGTCTTCTTTAGTGGACAAATAATATTTTTACAACATGACTAAAATAAAAGCAGAAATCCTTTTCAAGTCAAACTTTAGAGACGCTTCAGAACCGCCTGCCGACCAATCCGACGTGTTTTGTTGACCCTAAAGGTCAGTGGAGGAATCAAGAGGGCTTCGGGCCATCACATGATCCGGGTTATGGGTGTCGACACGCACATTCCAAGACAGAGAGCCGGTTCTGCCCCCCTCTACAGCGAGGTGTGGGAACGGCGACTCTCCTTCCTCCGATACTTCGCGCACACGCACGCACGCGCGC